ATTAAATGCATTAAACGAAGCTTTAAACATATCGAAAAATCCCGATTGGGGTATACAATATAATTTGGGATTGTGTTACACGAGTTTAAACGATTTACCAAAAGCAAAAGAACATCTTTGACAAGCGGTACAATGCAGCCGACAAGAAAATTCATTTTTAGCATTGGCAGGAGTTAACATATTGGAAAATGACATACCTAAAGCTGTAGAAGTTTATTATGCAGCATTAGAATTATCACCCGACAGCGTGGATTTATCAACGTCACTCGGTTTGCTTTATATGAAAATGGGAGATAATCAAAAAGCATTAGAACATTTCGGTTCTGCATTGGCACATAATCCAGATTGTATAAAAGCTCTGATGGGTACGGCACTCGTGATGCAGGTATTTTAATAAAAAGATTGCGTCTTAAGCAAAACAAGAATCAATGATTGATAACAAATAATTATCAGAATTACAGGGAATACGATGTTGCTTTATCGAAATATAAAATAGCATCAGTTTCACTAGCGGAATCTCCATGTTTATGGAATAACATCGGAATGTGTTTTTTTGGAAAAAAAAAATTAATCGCAGCCATAAGTTGTCTAAAGCGTGCCAATTTTTTATCACCGCTGGATTGGAAAATTTTATATAATTTGGGTTTGGTACACATTTCGGCACAGCAATATGCTTCTGCTTTTCATTATTTAACTTCTGCAATGAATTTGCATCCAAATATTCACCGAGTTTATTTACCACTGGCAAGTGAGTAATAAAAATCGTTTTTTTTTTTCGGTTTATTTACAACAAAAAAGAAAATTTTATGTTTTGTACTTTTTTTCTATTTTATTAAAATGGATTTGGGTCAAAAATAATTTTTTTTTTTTTAAATCACTTGAGTTTTGTTAACGTTTTCAAATACAAGTTTCTATTTATAAAAAAAAAAAATTGTTTTTGTGTTTAGTTAATACTCGAAAATTTTCCCATTACGAAAAAGGGGACGAAGTAAAAAAAAAATGAATGAATGAATTTGTAACGTGCGTGCACGCGCGCACGTGGATTTCATTCATAAAATAAATATAGAAAAATAGGGGGGAATTTTTTCCTGTTGTTATTCGCAAAAAAAAAATTATTATTTTTTCTTTTACAGTTACTTTAACACATTTAAACGATGCAAAAAATGCAATTTTTGCTTTTGATAAAATGTCTGAACATTCACCGGATGATCCTTTGACCTTTTTAAACTATTCGCTATTTTTATACAAACAAAATGATTTAACAAAATCAATCGATAAATATAATAAATTTCAGGAACTTGTTGAAACTGGTAAAAATGTCGACAGCAACGTGAGTGAAATTGATTCGAATGTTAAAAATAAAAATTTTTTTTTTCTTTTTGTGTAAAATTTTGTTTGTTTTTAAGGTTATAAAAGTAGCAACGAATTTAATCAAAATATTAACAAATGAAAAAAATGATGACGAAACGGAAAAGGAAAAAAATAACAGAGAGGAAAACGACAAACAAAAGACAAACGAAAAAAAGAATCCTTTGGGAAAAATTCAAAAATCGAATCATTTACATAATAATTCAAAAGAAAAATTAAACGACAGCGAAGAAATTGATAAAAAAAATTAATAAAAAAAACAATTATTGTTTTAATTATTAACAATAAATTTGTTTTATTTAATAAAACCTTTTTGTTTTTATTAATTTAAACTTTTTTATTTGTTTTTGTTTTTATAATTTTCTTATTTTGTTAACTTTTTGTTTGATTTTCGGTTACAAAAGAATTTTCGTAAGCAATAAAAAGATTTCATGTCAATATAACGTTCTATAAATGCTATGCGAATTTTATTTTGTTTTATTTCTTCATTGAAATTCCCTTAATAAACACAAACAAAAAAAAGATTTATTATTATTATTATTAATAGTATTATTATTAATTTTAATTGATATTATTTATTCGATTTTCGATAATAACAAAAGCGACGACGACGACGACGACATTTTCAAAATTAAAATTGAATAATTGAAAACGCAAAGATTAATAATAATAATATTTAATCCGATTACGTTTTCATTAGTTTATTAAATAATATATTAAAAGCAGATGATATTGACTATTTTTCGATACTAATAATAATAATAATAATTTTTTTTAAATGTATTTATTATAAACAAAAAATATTTGAAATAAATAATTTTTATTTTATTTTATTTTAAAGGTCAATAAACTATTTAAAAATTTTTATACCTGTTTAAAACCCATGATAATAATAATAATAATAATAATAATAATAAAATTGATAACAATAATTTTTATTAAGACACGTTTTTAGATTTAACGTAAGAAAAGGATTTATTTGTTTGTTTGTTAGCGTTTGTATGTAAATTTTAAATATTTCTCTAAAAATAATCCGAGAAAAAAAAAAAAACTTAAATCATTTTTTTCGAATCGTTCTTGTCGTCCGTTACAAGGGGTTAATGACCTAAAATCTGATGATAACATTTAAAAAAATATATAAATACGGTTGAATAAACACAAAAAAAAAAAAATTCGACCGTGCAAAAAAAATAAAATTCTCACAAGTACGCGCGTATTTATTTCTCGAAATTCTTTTTTTTTAAATCAATAAAAATCAATAAAAAAAGATCAATAAAAAAAGTTTTTTAATCAATATAAAATCAATAATATTTATTTATTTATCGATTCAATTATGAGATTAAAAAAAATAAATAAATAAATAAATAAACCCTGTCAAAAATCGAATCCATCTTTGATTTATTTTTTACCTATTTTCTAAAAAATAAAAAATTTTCCGTGGGAAGTTTTCCCGTTTATTTATCGTTATTGATATTAATAATAATATTTACTTAATTAAAAAATTAATTAATTAATCAATTAATTAATTTTGCTTTTATTACTTTGTAAAAAAATTTTTTTTTTCTAAATTAATTCATTTTTTTTTATTAAAAAAATTTTCCTTTTTTTGAAATAAGTTAAAAAAATTTTGAAAATTTCTAATTTGAAAAAATTCTAGAAAATAGAAAAAAAATGAAAATTTTCGATTTTCCATTAATAATAATAATAATAATAATAATAATAATAATAATAATAAATTTAAATATTTGCCGAGAAACAAAAGAAAAAACATATTTCAACGGTTTAAAGTTAAAACTTTTTTTTATAACGATTGATAAATATTTACATAAGTACTACGTAAATATTACTTTATTTAAAAAAATAAATACGTACATAATTTATGTATACATTATGTATGGATCTACGTAAATATATTTTTTTGATATGTTTATCAAATAAAATTTTTACTCGATTTTAAAAACAAAAAAATCGCGCGTTTTATGTGGGGGAAAAAAAAAATTTTACAACCTGATATTATTATAATTACCTCAAGCAAATTAAAAGAAAAAAAAATTTTCTTTCAAGTTTTACGTTTCTCCGGTTTCATAAAATGATTAAAAAATATTAATAATAATAGTTATGGAATAACGGTGAAAATATATTAAATCGAATTAAAAAAAAAAAAAAGAAAATTTCAATTTCTGTTTGTTTACATTATTCGATACAAAGAAAGGAAAGGATTAAACCTTTTTGTTTATAATAAACCTTTTACCAAACGACGCACACGCAAAATTTTTAATGATAACGTTTTTTTTTATCAGAAAAAAAAAAAAATTAAATCTTCGCGTTCGATTGAGTAACGGGATCGATAGTATTATTATTATTATTATTATTATTATTATTATTATTATTATTATTATTATTATTATTATTATTATTATTATTATTATTATTATTATTATTACAAAATATTAATTAAAATTGTGAATTGTTTTTGTTTTGAGTTCAGGACACAAACCTTCCCTCCCTCCACCCTTTTGCCTCTTGTCAAAAATTTAATTTAATTAACGAAAAAAAGTAAAAATTAATAATTGTAATTTTTTTTATTACTTCTCCGTTTTTTATTTTATTTAGAAAATGATATGAACCCCCGATCTCCCCCCCCCTCAAAAAAAAGTCTCCTCGCAAATTGTTTTAACGAAATGTATAAGAAAAAAAAAATTTTTAAATATGAAATCATCAAATGTGTTTCACTGAGTTTGAAAAAAAACGATATTCGATTAATCAAAACAAAAAAATTCGATTGGCAACACTGAATTTAATGATGACGTCAAACAATGAGGAGAAATTTTTTCCCTACCACACGTTAATTTCCTTTGTAAATATTTTTTTTTATAAAAAAAAAAAAATTTCCAATTTTTATGGAACTTATAATAAAACCTTCTTAAAAAATAATTTATTGACGATAATTATAATAAAAATTTCCCCATTTGAATTTTTTCGCGCCAAAATTTTTTCCCCCTTTAATCGTTCAAATTGATTTTTTTTTAAATGTAAACAATAATATTATTCGTGGTAACAAAGAAAACTTTTTTAAAATTTTTATTTTCACGTCTATATTTTTTTATTTTTTTTTACATTTCGCAATTCAATAATTAATTCTTTATTCTAAAAAAAATACCCCGAATAATATAATAATAATAATAATAATAATAATAATTTTTTAATAAACAATTTATTTATATTTATTGTTTATTATTAAATAAAAAAACTCGTTTCGAGTAAGTATCATGTAAAAAATCCGAAATCAGTGGATTATTAAAAAAAAAAAAAGGTTAAAAGGTAAACACCTTAAAGGTAT